GCCTTCCTCAGAGCCTGCCCACTATTCTCCTCCAGAGGTGGGCAGGCTCTGAGGAAGGCGAAATCCGCCGAAACGTCAGCTCATTTGTGAATAAAGAATAATAACACCTCGCGTTTGCTCAACAAAAATACGAAGAATTACTTGATCAATGCCGAGGTTAATAGAAAGTCGGTCGTGGGAGTTACTCAAATTTTAACCTCTATCCACCACCTGGGAATGCGCTACAATGAATCGCGACTAAGCTGCACGATATCCTTCTATTCTGTGTGAAAAGATAGAAAGACGAGAACGTCGAATAAATTCAATCTTCTTTCCAACAGTATGTCTCATAACCAATACTGCTCGGAAATTTCCATGTTCGGTGCTTACGGTCTTTTTACTTTAAAAAGGAATTCAATGCAAGAGATGAGTCGTAGAGAGTGGTGCCGCAAAAGGGTCTCCGTTCCCAATGCAGTGTCCTGGTCCAAATTTTGCAATTTTGTAGTCGTCTTCTTACGTCAATTCTGTCGTTCCATTGACTTGCTCGAAACAAGTTTGCAGTAGCTTGTCTCAATCCGAACGATTTTGTCAAAAAATTTCATAAAACGGATCAGGTTCCACCTCATAGGGTGTCGATGTCAGTGAGTTGAAGTTAATGGCACCGACCTTCTTCTAAAAAGAAAGTGCAAGACGCAAGGAAGCAAAGAGGGGATGGAGAATTCTCATCGATATCGATAGACAAGCATTCTAGAAGTAATACAAAGAAAGGAAAGCATAAAGAGAAGTCTCTGCGATCTTCGTGGGTAAAAGAATTTGTTCTACACTGAAACATGACGAGCGAGGTAAAAATAATTTCTCGCAGAAGGATAAAATCAAAGAAGAGGAGACTGCACATAAATCTCTTTCGTTCCACAACAATTTGTATCACAATATGCCATCGCCTATTGAAGTGGACTAGAAAACATTTCGGCCGTTCTTTTCAAGGCGGGCGACCATCACCTACACGTTCTTCTTTCGCAACACATGACTTTATATCTGCAAATTAAACGGTAACTCAACGGGTTGAGTACTACATGCACCGTTCACTTGTACAAAAAATGGACGCTCTCGACAATCACAGAGATCTACACGGAGTATCTACCCAAAAACATCATTGACTATGAGAAAGCATTCAACAGTGTGGGAACCAACTCTATCCTGTCCGCTTTAGTTGATTAAGGTATAGATGGTTCAGAAGAAAGCGACTGGCTAAAAGAAAATGGATGAGTGATGGAACACTGTGCAATCTGCCATTGCTCAAGTGCGACAACAAAGAAATAAGTGTTTACAGACAATTGACTTCCAACCTTCGTTTTGCAAATCGTCCTTCTTTTCGACCTGTATCGCGGAAAAAGAGACAACGCCTACCGAGCTTAGAAGGAAAAAAAATACTTGAGTACTAATAACCTGAAGGAAACCCAATTTGTGAAGAGCATCTAGTGCAAAAGAGAACAGGCAGATGGTTCTAGAACTAGTAAAATCAAACAATTTTAAACAATCAGTTCGCAATAAAGTAGGAGAGTTCTCAGGAATTCTTCGCCTGTTAGATGTTGTGATAACGCAGGAACAATTTGACAACGCTCCTTTTTACCATTCATTATGCGAATAAGGAATTCAAAAGTCAGCACCGAAAATTAGATGCGTGGGCCAACGCAGCAAGCGCAGTATATTTGAACCTATCGGTTATTCCACAATTTAAAAGTGAACAACAAACACGTTCCGTTTTATACTTATCAAAACTCATAAGTTAATCACCAGCCCGTGTTTACCGACCATTCAAAGTTCAAGGTCGGACCTATCACCTACTGTGTATATAGGTACAGATTTGAAGAACATCCAAGTGTTCTGCACCGCGTACATAACGCGCGTCCTAATAACGCGTACTTGATCGAGTCCCTTGACTTTACAGCCCTTTACAGAAACGCATCGAACGACTTCGCTATGCTAGCTATCCATAAAATCCTTATGCGATACGAAGGAGCAATAAGCACGTATGGCTTCTCGATTCACCAACTCACTAGCATTGCCATTACGTTCACGTCTAAAGTTGAAGCCTCCATGTAGATATATCGACGATTGTTTCGTCATCTGTTCAACATAGGAAACAGATGAATGTTTTGAAATCCTAAATCAACAGTAAGAGTATACAAATTTCACTCTACAGTAACTGAAGAAAAATTAGCTTCCGTTCTGGAACGTTCACACTAACTTGTCCAGCAAACCTGCATAATTTGCCCTAAAGATAGAAATAGCAATTGCACTAGTTCGGGCACGGTGTACCTGATTTCTTGGAAAGCATTTAAAGACAAAATACTTAGGTGAAACGGGTAAACCACTCTGCATTCACAAAAAGTGCACCTAGTTGGCAAACTTGAAGCCAAACAAAACACTCCAGTGGACAAGCACAGACCACCTGAGACATAACGGAGAAAACTTTGGTGTAGAAGCCACTGTCTTCGCACAGGAAGTGCTGTAAAAACAACGTCGTGCCTTCTCATCAAGAAAACTGAATACACCACGAACTGAGGAGAACAAATCCTAAATGTACCTACAACGTTCAAGGAATATTGATAACCAATCGAGAAAAGAACTCAGTAGAAAAAATGAGCAGTAAGGGCCTCACTCAAGTCTCCGCCAAAGGATGACTCAGCAGTTCTTTCAGATATAAACTATGCAGCAAAAATACGAAATAACTTCAGCTGTGTGGAAAAAGTTGCGCACAAAAACAGTACATCTGAGAGTTTTATAGAAACAAAACGGTTCACTCAACGTCGAGTTTGTTTTCGTTGTTCAGATCCTCGAAGAGTATCCCGTCATCGAGACTCAGATGTTAAAAGAAATAAACATTTATCGACCGGCCGTATAATAAGAAATGAAGGAAGGCGGATGAAACGAACAGTACAGTGGAGTAAGAGACTACCGAGTTACAGAGTACTGACGTCCTCGTAGAGAATATTCTCTATTTCTACATATATATATATATATACATATCTATATATATACATATATGTACACATCTGTATATACATACATATACGTACATGTATATATACATATATATATGCATATATATATATATATATAACCAACGATAGCGCGCGTGGGGTAGTGGTCGGAGGCGCCCTACGACACACATATGGTATCGATCCCCGTGCCCGCGGCTCACCAAGTCTTTCATCTCTTCGGGCTCGGCAAACTGCTATTGGATTTGTCTGGAGGCCCAATAAAGCGGAACGCATGGCACACCTCTAAAGGATTGATCAACGGCGAGACCTTTACCCTTTTTATAGTCAACAAATTTAATGACCTTCTTCTCCAAGAAGCATTTTGCCACGGTACCAACTATCTGAACAGCATATATAAGGATCGCGACCCAGTTCGATCCACTACTTCCGCTATTCCATTCAATACTCCCTTCTTGCCTTGACTACCGCAAACAAAAGCAAAAAAAAAGCTTCGTATGCCACACGAAAAAAAATATTTCATTCTGTATTGAGCTATTCAGCATTAAAGTGAATATTCTCTATTTAACTATGTAGCGCGTCAACCTCCATGACTAATGGTTGTAAGACAACAAAACGAATGCAAAAAATGCTGGGATCTGCAGGACACCTGAACATTAGTCATGCGATTATCTAGGTAAGTAGAATGAATTAAGCATTAAATTGACCAAATCATTCCAAAAAATATGTTCACAATGAATATGATAGTGAATATCTACAGCTGTGAAATAATTCCACTACTTCTTAACTAAGTGAGTAAAGGTGTTCTCATGACACATCGCAGCGACTCAGTCGTCCCTCGTATGCCTATGCAGACAATAAAACACTTTCCACAGATTCCCCATGCACAAGGTTTTATCGAGGCTGCAGATAATACTACACGTTGTCCGGCAATCCGCCTCATGAAACATACACGACAAACTTAATGTGCAAACTTTTAACTAAATGAAGATAAGTCTTTTACAGGCGGCGTTATGAATCCCCTTAAGAACTGCGAACGGAGCTAGTCTTGCTTGATTCTTTAAATGTTTTTCCTCATGACACACGCCTGTATAGCGCAGTGGATAGAAGTGCTCTGAAATACATATTTGATGGATCGCTAATCTGATCCCACATCCCAGGCTTACCATGCTTTTCATTCCGTCCGGTGTCGCCAATTAGTGACAGACTTGTCTGGGTGGACAAAAACATTGATTTAATACATCGGCAGACTACCGCAAGCCAAGGTACAGCTAAGATATGGGTTCAATCACACCTATAGCGATTGATGAAGTAATGCGTGGCGCACCCTCACGGAATGATCAACACCGAACATATTATCCTTTGATCAGAACGAAACATAAAATCCTCAAAGTTCAGTTGACGTTCCCGCACTTCCATCCCTGCGTCAAAAGAAGCTCTCAGAATGTCACTAACTGCTATTCATCGGAACCTAGAAGGCTCACGTGTTAAAACACCAGCTTGAAGGAAAAAGCCGCCGTAAAACTCTCCGTCGAAATTTTCTTGCTGGAAATCTTACGCTGTAAGTCACAGCGCAAAAGAATGGAAACATATAACTGATGTTGAGATAAAAAAGCAAACTACTTTGAGGGATCCCATCAGCAGCATGACTTTTTATCATTTTATTTATTCTACATGACTCATTATCATACCGACTGCGCAGATCCGAGCACTTCTTTCCTCACATTCAGCGTTCGTAACGGTTTCGGAACACTGCGTGTTGTTCCAGATACTGTTTCGGCATTTCGCCTTCTTTATAAATGTAAAATGTTGATCCAGTCAATTCTCCTCTACAAACTGGAGATGGTATACTTAGGGCGTTCCAGGGAGATTGGAGGAAGACGGTTGAAGGATGCCCAAACAGCATCTTGCCTCTAATGACTGCATAACTAGCCGCTGTGCTATTAGCAGCACCACTATTCTACCAAAGTTCACTTTCGACCGCTGAAAACCTAAGAATCCTTCGGTGAAGTGGGCCAGAAAGTGAACTACACTCATACGAAAAGAAGAAGACACTCTGGATTTCACCATACTTTTGTCGTTCTAACCACCAACTAACCTATAGGAGAAAAGACGATTAAGACAGATGTTCAGAATCTCTTACCATTACCACGCAGGGAAAAATTAAAGGACCAGAATACTTTGGACGAGATGATGTTATATTGACGAAAACCTTATTGCAGAGCATGAACAAGTTTTCAGTGTACCTACAGTTTACTGTTCTCTTGATGATCAAACATGAGGTTGCCATTGCAGCAATTATTCATCCACAATATTTGAGCGTTCAGCTGTTTCGTCTTGTTCAAAAATAACAAGGTCAAATTGACATGCAATCTACTCAGTTAAACGCCTTCATAAACTCAGCAAACAAAACTTAGTCCATAAATTTTCACCCGAATAATAAATAGATTGAAGAGTCAAGAAATAAGCCTGAATAATGGTGTGAGGTCAAGCGTGATCATAGAGCGCTCCCTTTGATGGTCATTCATTTTAGACCTTGTTAGTGATAAATCCGGAGGTTAAAAGAAAGCCAACCCTGGTTTTCTACTCGTAATTTATATTTCAAAGAACGTACTGTAATAATAACAAATTTAAAAACCAACTAGGAGCTTGCCAAACTTAGAGGTAGTCATCAAGGATTTTCGAAAGAAATAAGAGCCTATTTAAGCTTCCAGTTAGATTAGAAGAATAGGAACAACCCTAGAGAGATACCAAGGTATATGAAAAACTTATTATTCTAGAGTGAGAACAGTTTCAATGAAAATCGCTGAGTTACATTTTAAAACTGTGAATAGTTGCAAATCAAGTATATATGCTCGCGCCCAATAATAGTGTTTGACTTACCTACAACGTACCTGGTGACCCGGTCAAACTTTAAATTAGACTTTTCACATCCTAGAACTAGAGGCTCCATTCGAACAGAACAATGTTTCGTGACTAGGACATCTCAAATATGTAAAAACTCACTCCTTTCATCTTCACTTTCCGAATCAAAAAATGAGTGAATAGATTTGGCATCGACTCGGCTGACTGCACGATTGTTCCTGCCATAATAAGAAGATTGTATGAAAATAAACGAAGACTTCTTAGAAATCAAAATCAATGATTGTAAAGACTTGTCAATATTGTAAACTAATAAACTTGGCATTAATATGAGTATTTCAATACTAATATATAATGCGAATATTTAATAAAGATAACTTGTTCGATTTCCAGTGAACAACACATTTAATAGTATCTTAGCAGATAGTAACAGAAAATTAGTTAATAGCAAGCATTTGTTAGCATTGATACACTTTGAAAAGGAATTTAAAATTCCTATCTTACCAAACATGTCAGTGGCCACTATCACCTGTGATGCTGTTACTCATAGATAGACGAAATAGCGAGGCAAAGCCTCAACTCCGTTCAAAATTAGAGCTACCTAGTGGTGCTATTTTCGCTCAAGTTCGCTACTACTTGGTTGCTTAACAAACCAAGGACTATATGTGTCCACATGATGCGTTCAGTGCGGCCGCTATGCCTTTCATAAACCGGTGATTTGATTGACAAATGAATGTCATTCCACATCGCATGGACAATTCATGGCTATTGCACGGAATGGGCATTATAAGAGATATCGAAATAGACACAGCATCGGTCCCAAAAACTTCTAAATGCTGAAAGCAATGTGTTCGTATAACACACCACAGTGATACACAGTAAACAATAGCATACGAATCATCCATGCCCATAGAACGAAAAAGCGATGTCTCTTCTATAGCTCTGCCATTCTCACAACGCCTAAACCAAAGTTATTGACAAATTACTTTTTATTGTCAAAAAACCAGAAAGTCCTCAGCCAACGAAGAATTACTCGCATTCTATACGCAGAGCTACGCTAAATGGTGCGCGTCCGTAACCGGTTAACATTTAGACACCGACACCTAAATCCTTCTGGTTTACACATATACATGACGCGTAATATTTCGGCGCTCTCTGCGAGTGGATCGGCACTCACGTCAGCCATTACGCAAACCCAAGCAAACGGTTCTACCCTTTTGTTGTTTTTTCCTCTCTACAATTCAGTTTCTCCCTGCATTTGCTGGTGATTTACATCGTTTCTACTTTCTACATATTCTATAAGCTCTTTTACGCACTTCCCAGGCTTCCGATAGCTTAGCATCTCCATGATGGACACAGATAGCATGAGAGTCAATTAAACGAGGGAACCTGTTCAGTAAATCAAAGACTGCTCTATAAACTCCCTCTAAAGGTATTTCATGCAGCCATCTTGCGACGTTATTACCGTTCCTTCTTCTGTCTGTCGTCTTTATGCTAAAGTAAAGCCCCGAATCTATCACCTCCGAGAAATCTAGTGTTGAAATATGTTAGTCACTGAAGAAGTGGTCGCTAATCGACTCCAAGTCGAGGATCACCTCGAAAACATTGATAGTGTGGGCACTGAGGGTGAAGCGACTCTTGCATTCCTCGCTGAAGAATAAGCAGCAGTTGTGACGAATGATGAAGTCGAAGTTGATAATAATGGTATGAGCGATGAGTACTCAGATTATATTGTACTCCATGAGCTCTGGCTTTTCGAGGACAGCGTGTCCGAACTTCACTACGAAGCTGTGCTTGGATGCAATGAACCAACAGAAATGTATACTCTTACATTTAATCACCCAGAAGTGCTTCATGAATAAATAGAAGGTTCTCGGCGAGATGTTCCACAAAAACCCAACAAATTCTTTCAGGAACTGGGTGAATCACAAACTATTTTAAGTGTAAAAGTTCCTAGTTGCAATGTTTTGCTTACTGAACCGAAGCAGAGATGTCTCCGTTTCCTCTAAAACAGAAGCAGTCTTTCCAGTGATCAGCTTCCCCACTGGCGACAGTCCTTCGCCGGTGAAACGAGTTCTCCCAAGAACCATGGTTTTCTTGCAAACAGTTCACTACATACAAGAGGTTTCTAAAATCAATACCTAGAACTAGGATCTGTGTTCGATACGCTATAGATTAATTTTTAAAAAAGTGCAACAAAAGACCTGTATACGACAAAATAAACGGCCGCAAAGAAAATGAGTGAGTGGAGTGGAAATGAGTTTTTGAAACAACTAAGGCAGAAATGTTTCCTGAATTGGCAATATTAAATGCTGATCTGCCTGTCACACTACGTATCACATCTTATTTTTATCATATTTGGAGAGATTTTACCAACAGTACTAGCTAGACAACTCGAGTACACTTAATCTTCAGCTCATTCCTCGTCACTTTCTGGACATCTTAGCAGATTTTTCATGAGTTCACCAAACACGTATGAGTGACTGTAATGCCGGGATCCTCTTCTGTTTTTCCCGAATTTAGTGATCAAAAGTGTTTGCAACTGTCTTTCTCTGGAGCATACTCTTAGTCTTCGATACGAACTATCGGTATACAGATGCTTTCCCTTGTCCAATAAACTGTCCACTACCTTCTTCACAATCAAATCAGTCAAATTTTCAGTTCTGACGGACTTGATCCCTGCAACCATCCCAATGCCGTCGGTAACCTCGCTTCTAGTGTACAATTTCAAAAAAAATTGTCCCATAATTTGTGCATTCCGTGTAAGACATCCTGGCAGAATTTAATGCACATGTTGGATTTCCCAAATGAAGGTTAGCCAAGGAATTTTCTAGTGTAGCGCCGCATAACGTCGGTTGGAAAGGGACCATGTCAAAAGGTCAGACGGCAAGCACAATATAGCACAATACAATAACAGGGTACGGTCAAAACAACCCCATATTAGTGGATACGAGGAGCGTGTGTGGTGCAGTGGTCGGAGGCGCCTTGCAACACACACGTGGAATTGACCCCATGCCTATGGCACACCAAGCCTTCCATCCCTCCGGAGTCGGAAAATTGGTACCAAACTTGTCTGGGAGGATAGCAGCACTGGCTCGCTGCATCGATAGGCTACCGCGATTCATTGTAATGGCCAGATATGCGTTCAATCACCCCAACTATGCTTAGTGAAGCCAAATGTATGGCGCATCCCTCAGAGATTGATCAACGCCGACAGCTTTACCCTTTTGCTAATGCATACACCAGTTAATCTTTTCATCTCTTCCACAACTGTTGTTTCACACGAGTTACACCTTGTTTTTCTCCGTATCTATTACTCTCTCTGACAATCAAATTGAATGCAGAAGTACTTCACCTAGACTAAATACCACTGAGCATCCAAAGGTCACAAGACACTACGCTGTTTCATTACCCACTGGTGACTTCAATGTCACGAGAACCGTCTTCATCCTGCTACTTAATTTTTTCTTTCAAGTTCTTCAACAAAATTCATAAGAAAACCTCCAGCTTATTGTTTACATCTGATGGGAACGATTGAAAATGGAGTGCTTCATTGATACGATCCGAACATACAGAATGCAATTCTTTACCAGTACTCAGCAACTGCTGATTATATATGGCCACCAGGATGAAACGATACAAAAGTACTAAAGAATACCAAAGTATATTTTAGCTTTGTTAAACAGATTACTTAACTATGGTGGCATCGTAACTTGATTGCTGGCGATTTTTTTCACCTTTTACAACATATGAAAATGTTTCAAAAGTGTAGGAGCTACAAACAGAAAAACATACAAGCACCTGAATTTTGTAATGGCAAGTATTCTTTAAATAATTTAAAATATTTTAATAGAACCCGAAAAGTTTTGTACACTAGACCCCTACTCTACTTTTCTTTTATGAAAAAAAAGAACAAAAAACGAAAAAGCTTCACGATTAGAAAGAAAGTTCCAAAAAAATTTTCTTAGAAAATATAGAAATGCTTTTACAAACCCACTCCATTGAAGTAGACATTATAACGGGTTGCAATGATGGTATCCCAGGACTAATAGTTTCTCGTTGATGAAGAGAGTTGTCCTTCTTCACCTCAGAAATACCTTCACAATGTGCAGCAAAGGTACGAGATAAGACGTCAGATGACTCTGCAAAATGAAGTTGAAATAGATAAAAATTTCAAGAATCTCACGATACCATACCATGGTCATTTAATGCAGAACTACGAATCTTGTTTGAAGGACGACGAACGGGTCCCCTACAGCGTGTCTAAAACATTTCACACAGGTAATGTGAAGTGAAGATAGTAATTAATATAAGATTTACTTTTGTAATTGAAGAAAGTGGCCAGGCAGCGGTTGTAACCAAATTCTTCTGACCGGAATGCACGTCAGTTGATGTAGAGAAATTCGCATCGGTGTCTATTACACACTTCGTTTGAACCTTCAAATTAGCAGAAAGCACGTAACAATCAATACATAGATCAACTACGACGTTTAACACGAGTTATATAAAGAACATGAAGATTTCCACACCTTAACATCCAAAAACATAAAAAGTGGTATCGTCTTTCCTGGGTTATGGTGACAGTCACTTCGGTTTTGTTTGTACTGCATGCATGTTTACGACCCTTATTCATTAGTAGCTTAGCATGAACAATATATGGTCATGAAAATACAATACAATAACACATAATGCTTTGCGTGCTAAACAAACATCAGAAACAAAAGCGGAAAGACCATCAATTGCCCTAAAACATTTTATAGCTATCCCTGCCACGGTATACCTAAATCACGAGATATCGAAATAGCTATGAAGAACTAACCACTGAAAACCCATATTCTGACAGCACAGAATGAGCGTTATAGAAGCGTACAATACAAAAGAATACTACAAACTTTATGCTTTATATTCAGACGATCTTTGCGTAGAAATAATCAATGAGATGAACTGTCATACCTCTAACTCATCTATGCTTTCTGCGTTCTGTTCAGTCCTGATATCAGGACATCTATCGTGAGTTGATTGAGCAAGGATCTTCAGACTATTTACGGAAGAAACAGGTGGCGCCTTATCTACGTCATTCCTAGGCATTCCCTAAAGCATAAAAAAGCTTTAAAAATTGTTCACAACAGCGACGAGTTAGAACAGAGAAATATACCGCACAAACCTTACTGACACCGGAATTGAACAAAGAACGGCGCAGAGGGAACAGAGGTTCATCGTCGCTGTCGGAATCAAACATGTCTGCATATTTCTTTGCAATCTGATAGAAATGACAAAATATCCAATATAAACATTACACAACAAAATTCTAGAAGTCTATTGTGTCAGATATTGAGAAAACTTATTGAGATTCTAATTACGCTCCAATTCATAAACATTCTTGTAAAATGTCCGTAATCGTACTTACAAAAATCAGCGCTATAAATTCCTTCGACGCTTAAAACAAAGAAATAAAACATTAACTCCACTGTAATAAAGGAACCATAAGTAGACTAGTAAATTGTTTTCTCCTATCATCATTACAGCCCTACTTCATCTAGAAATGATAAAAAGGATCCACCCACATGCATACTTGTTGATATCTTCTCAGATGATCCTTTAAGGTCTACACTTGGCGAGCTTTCGGTATTTCCCAATAGTTTGTCAATGATGACATCTACATTCTGTTGTTGAGCATCGGTGGACTCGAAAAGCGATTCTTTAAAAGTGGTTTTCAAGTTCACAACAAAGAACGGTCACCATAAATGTCTTCACTAACTAACCTCGAACCGACAATCCGTCTATAAAGTTATTGCCTAAACACTGGCAATTAGTCTGCACAAAAAAAAATACAGTGGCTCAAATAAAAAGCATACCTAGTACGGAAGAATCTGATGTTGAGGTCCTTAATATGGACGAACGATTCTAGAAAATGAACTATTCAACCTGGTCAACATCCTTACTTTGAAAGTAGCACTAAGACTTATTCCACTCGCAAATTTGTGTTAAGTATTATTTTCAGGCTCTGAAGAAGGCCAAACAGCCGAAACGTCAGCTATTCTCTGCTAAAAAGTCGGTCATGGAATTTATTCCACTTGTTTAATTGATGCACCAAAACTCATCACTGCCATTTATATAAACTTACATCAGGAAACCGAAAAACATCTGTCGGTTAATGGTGACTTTGACTTCAGTTCTGAATGTGCCCAGTATGCTACTCACGTATCTTTGACCTCAAGGACAACGAAAATCAAAACACTCACACCTTCTGGTGAAGGTGGACAACCGAACTTCGTGTTAGAACGCTTGTGATCAGGTGTTGTTGGAAGCCTATTCGAAAAACAATTAGGAGTTCACAGTATTACAACAAATTTATCAAAGGTGATAAGCTCACCGTTCTTGAGCTAAGTTTGCGTCAGTCGGCACACCTTGTTCGCCAGCCCAATTTAAGTTATTCACAGATTTCTTTTTAATCCCACTGGTATGCACTAAAAAAACCACCACAGTCGATTTTATCCCAGGAAGGGACAAGTACTATTTTTATGTTTACAGAGATATTAGGCTATAAGAAACAAAATTTTGAATTTGCTTCAAACTATAATAGGTGAAAGGAAAAGGAAATTACCGAAGGGACGAACATGATCTTCATCGGACTCCGTGCAAAGAAGCGGAACTCTGGAACAGATTGGTTTATACGACAAAAGCAGTCAAATGCAAGAGATAGAATCCCGTAAGCTTACCGCGTCAATTGATCTGGGTGGACCGCTGGAGGATGTCGAAGTACCGCAGGCCCATCTAAATTCGCAGTGCATTTTTTAGTACAGAAGTTAGCGATTAACGATGACGGCAACATGTCTGCATCTTTCTGCACTTCGACGTTTCTTCCATGCGGAAGTACAGGCACTTGTACTCTTCCTTCACCACAACATTCAATCAGTGTTCGAGGAGGAGAACGTGAAGCTGAACTCGTTGACACCTTAGTTGACCGCTGCGGGGAACGCTCTATAGAAATCAATTCGGAAGACGAGATAGAGCTGTAGAATTCACTGGATCCAATGATGCTTAGAGCGAGGCATATGCTGCTGACCTAAATATCTAAGAATTATCCTAAACCTTTCCCTACTAAGCTGGTGGATGTACCAGTTGAGACACGGTGCAAAGAAAATTCGTTAAACCGACTAATCGTCCAAGGATGTTAAGCTTCCGTTACAAGTCAAGTAGAAACAAACGAAATAAAACTGTGGACAAAACAATAAAGCAATTCAAATATATCAGCGACCCTTGTTTGCAGCTGAGTATGGAAAAGTAAAAATAAAGATGGGGATTTTCTCTTAAAGCTTCCTATTTTGTCGAAATCAAGTAAAACCTCTATATTCCACAAATAAATCAGAACATTACGAATCTTAAGCGTGATAGAGAAAATTAGAACACGATATACTTAATTACTTGATACTTGAACGGCTCGTCCTCACTGGTCGTGCTGGCTCCAGCATAATCACCATTTTTCAGAGACTTGCTGGTTAAGCCATTGTGGTTCCCTGGAATCCCGAGGTCAGCCTGGCCAAAGTCTGCCCCAGATCTTCACTACCACGGGCAGCCGCAGCCCTTGTGGATCATAGGGAGATTCGCCACCATGCGACTTTGATACCTGGATGGTGGCGGATCCTGGTATTGGTTTACTCTTAGCTAGGCTTCGGACTGGAAACCCCGGACTCGTTCTCAGCTCGGTAGACCCTGCCGGTGGGACGAATCCCCCTGCTGTACAACGCAGTCCGACACCCAGGAACACCTCCCAGCCACGACGAGACGGTAAACCGTTGGGAGGAGAACACGATATTGATGGCAAAAACCTGATATTAGGTTAGTAAAATTGCTAAGCTAGTCGATAACTAGATATAACTATAATGGGGGTCATCATAGAAATCAAATCGTTGACCCCTAGGTTATAATGAGAACACAACATAAATTGAGGTGATCACGGTACATGTACGTCAAACGTTTGTTAACGAAGAAGAAATTTTAACTCTTTTATTTACTGCCTTTTTCTTCTTAATGGCAGGGTATGTTGTGAAATATAACTCGTATGAAATGCTGAGATATTTGCAAAACTCCGGACCACAGGTGTATGCAGTGGGGAACGAACACGCGCTGTTGTCCTTACCGGGGAGCAGCGCACTTCACCACTACACCATCCGGGTCCTTCGCTTTGCATGTATCTCAGCTAGTTCTATCGATCTTTTTTGCCATCAGCAATCACCCGTGAACGGGATTGATCTGGGGAGCCAATATCGGAAGAAGAAATTGTCACATCACGCTCAGAAAGACATGATTTCCATTTCTGTCGAAAACACGACAAGAAGAAGAAGCAACGTCACTTTCTATTTACTTCCTATTCTCCCTATTAACAGGGTACTATTTGGAAATATAACCGTAATGATGCTGATATATTAGCAAAACTTCGGACCGCTGGTGTATGAGGTGGGGACCGAACACGCTATTACCCTTTCCGAGAGTTAGCGCGTTCACCACCACAATATGCAGGTCCTTCGTTTCGCCTATCTCTCAGCTACTTCTATCGATCAATGCCACCAGTAATCACCGGTCAACGGCACTGATCTGGGAAGCACAAATCGGCACTGAACCCAGTCAAGGAAAAAAAAATCAAAATCAAGTCAAATCAAAAATGAGATCAAAAAGAGTGTTGTTAATTCCCAACGTTTAAAATGAATCTTACATTTTGCGAGCTTCTTACATCCTCAATTCCTTGATGAATCGCATTAGTCAGCGTAGTGAGTGTGTCTTCTCTTAAGCCAGCTGAGTTGTCCTGATATAGACTTCTAAATGGGAGCACGGAATTTCAAAACGTTAAATTTACAACAGCACCCACCAACACTGCTTTCCCCAAAGGCGTCAAGGTATTGTAATCATCATCAAGACGCTAAAATAATTAAGGATACCATAAAGATCTCTAACAAAATCACCCATAATGTACTTAAATAACCTACCTGTTCCATAAATTTGACGTTAGCAATGTAATTTATGTTAGCGTTCATGCATTCGAGTTCCGCATTTAGTTCTAACGTTTTCTGGCCTACCATTGTTATTTCATGCTGGAGTCTTGACGCCCGATCAAAACAGTGACCTTGGTATTCATGCAGTGCTTTGCGAAGCTGAAAAACGTTTACAAACAAGGATGATCAGAATGTCAGCTCTTCCATCTTCATTACGAATAAATTGTATCACTCCATACACAAGATAAGATTTAAAAGGCCCTACCGAGCTATCATCCGCTAAGGACCACGTGAAGTTCGACTTCTTCTGGTGCTCCACAACCTCATCAGTATTCCGGACCTCACTCATGCGTTCGCCCAAGAACGAATCGGTTCATGGTACCTTCACCCGAGCGCGAAATCCTGAGAGTCCTGAGAGGAACCCTGAATATGGTATTTCGTGTTACAGCGCGTTCTCCACTCTTGTTTCTTGGTGTACATCTCTTTCGATTGTAGTCCGTAAGGGTTGTGTACTGAAAAAGTTTATTCCATCTTGGAGTCTCTTATTTGTAGAAAATTTCACTATTGGCCGATTTCAAGTTTGATTTTCAACTTAGAAAACCCACTCTGTTCTAGTTCACTTGTAGTGGAGTCTTACATCTCAGCAGGTGTTATGTAGTATAGATAAGTAGCGGAAATATCGATTTAGGTGGCCAGCCCCATTGAAATAGTGTCTGAAGCACCAATCACTCCTGGTATCCTATCCACGTATCAGCAGCCCCAAGTTATGTCATTGTTGGATAAATCCGCTACCCATGTACCGAAGCCAAAGAGGTTTGATTAGTTTTAGTTGTTGTCGTGGAGTCCAACCAATGAGTGTGTGTATACTATCTAGCACCGCTAACCACTGCGCTACATATGTTCGCAGATTGTGTACTTATTCATGTGTATCCTTATTCATTATTCATGTGAGTGGTGCAGCCACAATGATGCTGAGATATTTGGGAAACGCAGACCCGTGACCAGATTCGAACACGCGATTCCACTTTTCGAGGGCCTAACATATTACGCACTTCACATCTAAGGCCTTTCCGTCGCCTTTCTGGCAGCCGTATCCTAAGTTTTTTAATCAGTAGCTGTCATATGTATTGAAGAAGCAAATTTGGTGCGCTGGCCTTCCTTCTAGAAGTAGAACATCCCAAGTTCTATGTTTTCGAGCGTATGAAAATGTATAATCTCAGTTCACTACATGGCATCTGCTTCTAATGCGTACACTTAGTTAATTGACCAGTTAAGGTTTCCCTTAACGATTTTTTATACATCCAGGCACACTGTTTTGGCTCTCACGTAGTCTGATTGCATTAAAAATTCGCCTTATAAAGGATATTTGCAGTTTTTGAAGGTCTCCTCATACTGTGGATGATTTTCTTCCTGTCCGCCTCAACTGTCCTCCTCCTTCCCCACCATTTGGTATTGATCGATTGATCAATCAATCGGCTCGTGGCCGTCGGACGGACCTGCCAACAAAGCGCGGCGGCGATCCGTCGTAACACTGCGAGCACCGCCCACACCCGTCGACGGCCATCCATCTGCTCGATAATTGTCTGCTCGTCTGTCGTCTCATCGTGAGGCACGCTTTCATGTTTCCGATCCGAAAGTGCAAGCGATAGAATGGCATTGGCTGTGACGCAGACGAATAGAGGATGCTTGCGAGAGTGTATTTGTGACCGTGAAGCAGATGCCATGGGCGTTACTGTTCGATGTGCGTGTGTAGATGTGTATATGTATGTGTGTCTGTGTCTGATGTCTGTCATTGCTTGTGTGCGCTTGTGTCTTGTTGACCAGTTGTCAGTGCAGGTTCGGTTCGTGCCCCTCTATAAGTACCTTCTGCCCATCAACCCGTAGATCCGAACTTGTGTTCAGTATTGTGATACACAAGCTCGGCTACAGGTGGATGGACTTGTGTACGCTCCATCAGTGGAAATTGTTCTGCTGTTTTATGCTACTTTCTGAATTGAGAGGTTCCCGTCTGTTTGTACTGTTTGCTAACTTGGAGTATGCCTTACTACCGATGAGGTAGTAAGTTGTATAGTTCGGAATTGAATCAGTGGTGAAACTATTACAACTTGCTAGCTTGCCGGTCGGGGCTGCCATAGTTCTAGTGATTTCTGTGAATTCAATTCGGAAATGTAGTTACAGTAAGCACTTCATGCCTGATGTGTGCTGAAGACGAATGTTATTAAGATTTCGGTTGGAACAAGTGCTATTCAGTAGGAACTGCAAAACTTTTGGTCGCTTGACTAAAAGTGGATGCTTTGTTTGTAAGAAAAGAAATGGCCTTGAGATTTATGTGTTCAACACAAGTTTACGAAATAATCTGGGTAGACTGATCTGGATAACAACAATGCTATTCATAAGTTTCTCATAAGCAGTAAACCGTAGATAAGACTGTTTCTGACAAGCGCAAGTGATAAAACGTTAGCATTGACGGGCTACACGATAACAGCAGTTCCGTTTTCGCTATCTTATTTGGTGAATGGAGATTGTTTAACCGTTTGTCATGTCAACCGTGTTCCGCACATACAAAAGACGTTGGATCTATCTGTTGGCTACGTGCTTAGTCAATTTTTCCAATGGGAACGTGAGTTTTCTGTAGTTAGTTCTTTTTGTGAAAAGCTAGATTGGTGTACGCAGTCATCTATTTGCACGGGTTTTTTAAAACTCGTTTTGTGTGATTAAGTAATTCATGCCTTATTAATGAATACACTTTCAGACCTGGATCACGTACTCGTCTATCACATTCTATACTAACGAGTTTTATGATAACACGAATGCTGCCTTGTTCTTCAATGTGATATTTCTGGCTCTGTCGATCCCGGTGGGGCTTCTGGCGTGCTGGTGGACGGATCGATTTGGCTTGCGATCTGCAGTGAATCTTATTTTTAGTACCTTCATTTTTACTTTCGTAGTCAAGAATTACATCCAATGCTATAATAATATGACATCCAACACTCATGAGAATGGCGAAAAACGAGATGTGCATATGTACTTTCTTCACCTGTTCTCCAAGTACAAGAAGTGATCTTCGTTTGTGAACATTACCAATGATGGTATATCCCCATCGGTCTTTCAGCAAATTATTTCACTTTCTAAAATCACTTTTATTAATTCTCACGCATTGCTTCATTTTAGTTTCACATTGGAGCCTGGACAAACTTTATCGGTAACGTAATAAGATTCGCTGGATCAGGCGAATGGGTGTCAAAGAATGTGCGATTTCCGTTGTCTTTTGCTGGCCAAACTGTGGTTGCGTTTGCACAACCATTCGTTATGTTCCTTCCGACAAAGCTGGCGGCAAATTGGTTCCCTCAAAACCAGCGAGCTATTGCTAATACTCTTTCTTCAATGTCGAATCCAGTTGGTATTGCTGTGATGTACTCAGTTGCTCCGTTAATTGTTAACGGATCTCGTCCTGCAGCGTTTCCTCTCTTGGTAAGTTTATTCATTCGTACTTTTGCTATGTAGAAGCAATCTGTGATATTAGGAGTTGAAAACCACGAGAAGAGGGAGACAGAGAATGAGAATGGATATAGGAGAATAGAGTGATTCGGAGAGACATAATTTAACTGGTCACCAATGACTTGTTATAACATAGGGTTAGAGGGGTCTGATGCGAGGCTGTAATAAGGTGATCAATCGGCTCTTTGACCAATACTTACGGAACATCGGTGATGACTAATGATTACCTCTTATGGCGACAATTCGAAAACTCTAAAAAATAAGCTCTTAGTTTGTCTATTGCCTCTTTTGTAGTGTTAGAAGCGTGCAAAAGTTTTTATTCCGTTATAATTCTGTCATACTTTCTCTGTTTTAATAACTAAATCGTGATGGTATAGGTCCACAACATTGATTTCAGACAGGAGTTTGTGCGACATTGGCTACTCTTACTGTATTCATTGCTTTGTTCATTACTAGATCAAAACCTCCCACTCCAGTTGGTCCTTCGTGTGATTCGAAAATCAAAATACCTTTTTTGGATGGTGTTAAACTATGCATAAGGAACAAGACATATTTGGTGCTCGCCGTTTGTTTGGGTGAATATTTTCTTATCGTTATTTAGTCATATATCTCAACATTCTGTTGAGGGTGGCTTTTTTCCTTGATATAGCTTATTTTATTTCAAGGCAAAAATTCCCATAAATCGTTATGAAACCATCACATTTTGTAAACAACTTATGTTGTCGTTGTATACTATATTATCTAACCGTTATATTTAAATATAGAATGTATGAAATGAAATTTCTAGCTTACACCCCGTAATATATTTCTAATATATGAGAGGCGCGTCTAGCGCATTGGTTTGAGGTGTCCTGCGATGCACACATGGTAGTTGGTCCGACTCCGTGCCTGTGTGTACACTAAGTCTTCCATCCCTCCAGGGCTGGCAGATTGGTACCAAACTTTTCTGGGAGGACAGCACCGCTGACTCGGTAAATCGGCGGGCCACCGCAAATCATTGTAAAGGCCAGATATGCATTGAATCGGCCCTAACGATGCATAATGAAGTCGAATGCATGACTCATCCATTGCTAATTGGTCAGGGCCGAAAGCTTCATCCTTTATCTTTTTACGTTCCCTATGTACGTTTACTTCCTCTATTATGCGTGCACAGTTATGAATGGATATGTGCGAATTGCGTCACATACATCGTCAGTTTGACGAAAAACCTGAAATCGAGTGACTGCTATTTGACTGGAGGTAGTTAGAGGTGGTCTCTAGCAAACTATTTCCTCGTATACTCTAGGAAATAAATAAATAAATATGTATATATTTACATATATATACGTATATATATATATATATGTGCACATGCATTGCATATATAAACGTATATATATATATATATATATATATATATATATATACGTTTATATATGCAATGCATGTGCACATATATATATATATATATATATATATATGTATATATAGGTAAGTATTGGTTAGGCCAATGCACGACAATATATTAGTTAGCTCAATGTAGTATGGTTCTTCAAATCAGCTTTCAGACGGAGTAGTTATTAGCTGACAACAGAGTGCTTGACTTCGTTAGAGTTTGCCAGGTGAGTCTTATTGTCGTTGATGTGTAGCATCTCTCAAGCTTAAATAATTAAACTGCGTACAATGGCACCGATACAACAATAACGATAGGACTTCGAGGAATGTAACCAGTGTAAAAGACAAGACGGTAACACGTTCAAGAAATGGAGTGAAATGATAAGCGCGAAGCTAATTTGAAATAAAAGAACTACCTTTCCAATAGGTTGGCTGAGCAATATGAGGTGGAAGTGTCGCCTGGGATTCAACGGCATTGACATGGTAGAAGGCAAATTTGGGATTTTAATAACTTTAACGCATAGTGATTATCAAAACGGAAGCGTGCATAGCCTGCAATAGCGGTTAATGTTGGTTATGTGGATGGAGAATTTACCAATTCAATTGCAATAGAAATCGAAAGAGCAGGAATAAGAGGGCTATAGAAGTATTTTAGCAAGCTGGAAGAATGACCACTACTCCTTTTCGTTCTGGGGCATTCATAACTTCTTTCCAGCCAATATTTTGTACTAATTCAGGCATCCGCCTGTCACTTACCCTCCCATTAATCAGGGTGTGACTGGAGCGCGTGCAAGTAAACCTCCCATTTATCGCTGTCGTGTACAAGAGTAGTCCAGTGAGTTTTACCAGCTCCAAGGACTCGTTGAGCATTATATCTTTCTTCTGGGGTTTTTGGGAAGAAATTTGATATTCTGGTCGGCGATCCTCTTGTTACACATCTGCTATCCCGAAGAATTCATTCTCCAAGGATTTTGTCCATTAGTCGTCCTTCATACGCGTTACTTATCCTGCCCATCTTATCTTCAACAGTTTGACGTGTAGAATGACGTCTTTGATTTCTCATCATTGACACTTGTAGGGGTTTCCGATCTCCTCCCTCCTCTGCGTGATACGGGATTCTGCTGAAATCGTCATTTCGATTGCACGTTCCATAATGTTGAGTAACCTTTCATTTTGGATGGAAGAATCGTGGAGTTGAAAAAGTGCACACGGTCGACTGTTCTTTTTTCTTCTCACTACATCATCTATGCCTTTCAAAGCTCATCAAATCGCTCGTTCCATCCTGCTCCTCTTGAGCTGAATCGTTCATCATGTTGTATTCCTGACCTAGATAGATGTAACTGACGCGTTCGGAGATATTCATTCCGTTTAGCATGAATAGAGCGTGGGACACCATCCCGTTCCATACCAACATCGTTTCTGTGAGATTTGTCCGAAGAGCAGTCTTTCCATAAGTGTTATCATAGGAGGATAATATTCGTTTCGCCTGCCTAATGCTTGATGTTATAAGAACGATATTATCAACAAAGCGAAGATAGTGTAATTGCCAACAATCAATTTTCACTCCTATGCTGTCCTATTAGAATGTTCCGATAACGTTCTGGAGGACGGCAGTAAATCATTTTGACGAGATAGTATCAACCTGCGTAACACTTTTTTTACGTGCATGTTAATATCCCTGTATAGTGGTGACATTTTGGTCGTTGTTTATGTAGCTCACGATTCTTTATTTACTAATCAGGGACGCCCTGGCTGCCTAAAGCTTCCAGGACTGTTTCTGTTCCAGATGGGTCGAAAGCCTTCCTTAAATTGGTGAAATTGAGATGGAGTTGTCTCTTGTACTTTGACGCTACCAAAATGAGTCTTGTTATCGCATGGATTGTTATGGCTTGGATCTTGTCCATTGTACTGTATCCTTTTTGAAACCTTGCTTGTTCACACGGCTGTCCTTCGTTCAGTGTTCTGAAAATCGTGCTTAGTTCTTGGGGTCATCTCTTGGAGGCTTTCGAACACTCAGCTTTCATTGCGCTAACGTGGTGTTGAATAAGAGGACCATATATCTCGTTGCTCCCAACGGTTTACCGTCTCATCGTGGCTGGGAAGTGTTCCTGGGTGTCGGACTGCGGTGTACAGCGGAAGGATTCTTCTCCCTGGCTGAGGAGTTCGGTGTTTCCATCAGGAAGCCTAGCTAGGAGTAAACCAGTACTAGGATCCACCACCGTCCTGGTATCAAAGTCGCTTCGTGGCAGATCTCCCTCTGATCCATAGTGGCTGCGACTACCTGTAGTGGTGTTGACCTGGGGCAGACCTTGACCAAGCTGTCCTCGGGATTCCAGGCAACTACAATGTCATAACCAGCAAATCTTCGAAAAATGGAGATTATGCTGAGACCCGCACAACCAGTGAGGACGGGCCATTCACGTATCAAATAAGTATCAAGTATTTTTCGGTTTTGTTCTCATGAACTGCACCTTCTCAACAGCCAACTAATGAACTTAATGTATGCCAGCTTATAGAGGTGTCAGGGTTTTGTTTTTTTAATTTAGCTGCTTTTTCTTGAATAACTATAAGATTTACAAAGAACAAAAGGTGAGTGTTTAAAATTTGCAGTTTACTATAGAATTTATATATCGGATTCTTTCAGTGATAAACTAATATGGGGTTAACAAGCAACTTTAGTTGGCTAAAGTTTCGAAGTCCTCGTCTTCCTCAGAGCAGTGATCTGAGTTGGTGGTCCGTAGTTGTTCATACGCTCCATGTGGTGTCAATTCTCGACTTTGAAATATCTGTGGATTACAATCACAATACCATTACCTCAACAGAAAACTAGCTGATAGGCGAAATGAAGGACCCACATGGTGAGCTGGTGAACGCGTTATCCTCCGGCAAGGGTAACAACCTGTTTGTTCGCCACCGTAGACATCTGCTGTCCGGTGTTGCAAAAATCTCAGCATCATTGCGGTTGTATCACATATAATACCCCTTCGTGAAAAATGGTAATAGACGGTAAATAAAAAGTTAACGTTATCTATAAATCACTTCGAAGCCAGCTTTCTTTTAACATCGCTATGATTAATCAATATGTGAGTAAATTTTTGAGCTTACGATTGGCCGTCGTATAACTTTGATTCGGCTAACGTTTTGACGTCTTCATACTCATCACACCCGACGATCCGAGTCAAGGACCACAGTTGTTCATCTCGATGGATATCTTCATCTTCGTGTCGAGTCCGATCTTCTTTAAACTATCTCTCGTAAGGTATATCCACCCATCATGCTCTTGTGTACAGGCCGGTGGATGTCGGTAATAGCGATTGTCCGGTGATGAAAAGGATGAAGGATAAGGGTCTTGACGTTGATCAATCCCTTAGGGATGCGCCATGAATTCGACTTCATTAAGGTGATTGAATGTATTTCTCGTCTTTACAAGGACTCGCGATGGCCTGCAGATGTATCGAGCCTGTGCTGCTGTCCTCCCAGACAAGTCTGGTCCCAATTTGCCGACCCCGGAGGGAAGGAAAGTTTTGTGGGTCATGGGCGCGGGGATCGATTCCACGTGTATGTCGCAATGGCGCCGCCAACCACTGGTCCGATGATAAGGACTGGTTTTTTTCCGGCCAACCCATCCCGTAGAAGTTGGTATCAATATCAGTTAGCATAGGTCATACCATTATTTCAAAATTGACTTCCCTTTAACCTCGCTGTGACTAACCAACATGTACGTAAGCAATCGACAACATGCATAATCAAAACACATGGTGATTAGTCAGTCACGCCACATTGGGAAGATGAGCAACTGTGGCCATTGAGTCGGGTCACCGGCTCTGATGAAGACGAAGATGTCGAAGCGTCAGCGGATTAAAAGTCTTGTAACAACCTCTTGTAAGCTCAACAATTTAAATACATATCTATGGGTTTTTTATGCTTGGATCATTAAACTGTTTGGCTCTGAATGACGCGACACCGCCAAAGCGTCAGCTGGTACTAGACGAATCTTTTTATTAAGGGCCTCGCCCGTGCTCGAGAAGAGAAAACGGACTTTTACGAAATGTTTGTTCTTTTTTTAAGTTCCAACTTAGTTGGGATAAACTTGGTCGGTTTGCCTTCATGTTTTATGCAACTGCTTGCCTATTTGACTGGTATGCTATCCTCTACCCACAATAGACATGGTGGTTTTCATACCATACATATGAAATAGGTCATTGTTGAGTTTAAAACATGGAGGTTATCCCTTTTCTGTGCGCTAGCTGTTTCAGTTGATGTCAGTTGAAGTGTCACAGTGATAGCTTTGTTATTCTCTGGAGACGCTGTTTATGGTGACTATTTCCTGCTTGGGTACTTTTTCAAAAGGCCAACCAGTTGTCATCGGGTGGTGTTTTTAACACTCGAGTAACATATTCTAATATGGTTTTATTTATTGTGTATTCGCTGATGATCTTCTTTCAACCACTTTATTATGCAACGGTGGAAATACTCATGTCTTGTAAGCACTTAAAGGAAACAGTCTGAAGATTCTGAAATTCTCGTGAAATTTCTTCGAAAAGTTTTCGTATGCTAGGAACGTCATTACAACTTCTTCTGAAGTTGTTTTTCAATTTTAGCACTTCCACTTTATATAGTTTTAAAGAAATGTTCTTGTAGGGGGCGGTATTGGACTGTTCAATACTTTGTATACCAACCTGCAACCAACATTATGTGTCATTGGGTATTCCTCTTCGTTCAGTGGAGGTGTGGGAACACTGTTGATCATGAGTGGACTTATTGGGGCTGCCATCGTTGGAGTATACGTTGATAGAACTGGAAACTTCGAACAGGTTTGTGGGGACGCTCACTCTTCGTTTGTCGTAATGTTACTTACTTTGCAGGCAATGAAACTTACATTTTTAATTGCGGGAATCGCAGCATGCTCATTAGCAATATCAGTTAACTACGAAGATGAGGAAGGGTGGGTGGCGGCGTCCATATTTCTGTTTGGTGCATTTGGTTTTAGTGTATATCCTGTTGGTCTTGAAATGGGTGTGGAAGCGACGTTTCCTGTAGCTGAAGCTACTTCTACGGGACTTATCATTATGATGGGGTGAGCGTTGCTTTTTAACGCTGTAATAACACGGCTTATGCATGAACTGTTATATGTTTATTCGCTGTGCTTTCTCTTTCTGCAAAGAATGAGGTAACCTTGTTGAACTCTCCCATTAGTACTTTGTCCTATAAGATTTTCATTCGGTTACTTGAAGTTTCGACGTGAGAAGTGACGTTATTCTATTTATTTTCAGTCAAATCCAAGGAGTAATCTATGTAGTACTCACTAATATATTTGTTGAAAAACCCAATAATCATCAGTTGGCGGTGCAGACATGTGCTGATGGAAATTCAGATCTCAGAACTGTAGTCACGTGGAGCGGTGTGTTTATGTGCTTTAATATTTTTATACCATAATTTGAATGCAGTTGTTATTTTAACGTGCCTCCAGTTCCATTTCTGGTCTGGGTCGGATGTCTTGGCTTACTAATTATTGTATTTGTTACGTTTTTCTGGCCCAGCTATCGACGAAGAGATTACGAAACTAATAGGACTATAAAAAAATGCAAGGAAATTACATAGCGTCAACTTCAACAAGAGTGAGCACAGTTCAAACTATTGGTTCGTAAATAAGCATGCTTTTATATGGGTGTCATATTATTATGAACTGTTATTATCACATTGTCATTCTGTTAACAATTGTTGTTGTGCCATTGTTATTTTAAAGAAGATAAACTTACATACGTGTTGTAGACAAAACGTCCTTTCCTTTTTTCTTTTCGCCGTGAAATTGCTGTTCAAGAGATGAAATGTTGAATCATTCTCGCTGAATTCTACACAGTGGAGGAATTCTGCACTAGATAGAGAACCGCGTAATTTTATGTACAGCTGCTTTTCAAATTGTGGCACGATGCTTGCCAGTACTTTTGGAAGAAAACAAGCTGAAATTTAAGAAAAATTTGTATGAAGATTCTGAAAAGGAATGCTAGAGCACATTCACCTGCTGACATGATTTAGATCTGGCAGTGTACAAGGGTGATCCTCTGAAATTTGAGGAACTGAAAATCTTTTCAAAACATACAAACCGTAAGAGTCACACGTTGATTATAGTTGGGCAAAAGTAGTTTGTGCTTCAACATTATACAAGCAGATCTCATCACAATGAGCTTCATTAATTGGAATAGAAGCACACGAATCTACGGAACACCTGGCCAACATGAAGCAATTCTTGCTACTCAACAAGAATGACATTCTGTTTTTATGAAGCTCACAAAAGTTTTCTTTTTTTTCGTATTCTTGCTTTTGAAACTCGTATTTCGAAAGGCGAAGCAATTAAAGAAGAAGGATTTCGACCGACCGGGAAGGTACGATGTTGTCGCTGAATGCACTATTGATATTTGCGACTATTGTCCTTACATTAAAACTTAGTTAAAATTATTTTTGGGTTCTTCGAAACTTTGACATTTAACAGGGTTAAGACGAAGATATTCAATTTTTACATATATATATATATATATATATGTATGTATATATATGTATATATAGGTTCTTCGAAGTTGAGAAGGAGTCCAGCTTTTCCATCAGGAAGCCTAGCTAAGGCTAAACCAATACTACGATCCACTGCCGTCCTGGTGTCAAAGTCGCATGGTGGCAAATCTCCCTCTGATCCACAAGGGTTGCGACTGCCTGTGGTGGCCAAGACCTGGGGCAGACTTTGCCCAGGCTAACCTCTGGATTCCAGGGAACCGCAATGGCTTAACCAACAAATTTCCGTAAAATGTTGATTATCCTGGGGTCTGCACAGCCAGTGAGGACGGGCCATTCAAGTATCAGGTTTATGTGCCACCCGTATCATCTGTCGTCCCGGTGATCGTTGAGTAACTGGAGTGAGCTTCAGTAAATCTTCCATTTCGACCTGTCGCGTAAAGTAATTGCCCAGTAGGCTCTCCTCACTCAGGGGACTCGTTGAGCATCACATCTTCATTCTAGAGTCTTCGTGAAATACTCCGACCATCGCCCTGTCTTTGCCCTAAACCTCGAAATAAGGTTTTTTCGAGCAAAACTCTCGAAAAATGCCCAATGTGCGCTAAGCAGTGAAATTAACGTTTTCCATGCGAAACCCTTAAAAGCGTTTAATGTGCGCTAAACCGTGAACTAAGCATTTGCCGAGCGAAACTCTCGAAACATCTCTGAAATGCTCTAAACCTCGAAATAAGCATTTTCTGGGCGAAACTCTTGAAAAGCGCCTTATGTGCGCTAAAATGTAGAACAAGCGTTTTCCGAGCGAAACTATCCAATAATGTCTACCGTACGCTAAACAACGAAATGAACGTTTTCCGGGCGAAACTCTCGAGGAAATTCTGAAGTGGGCTAAACCTCGGAATAAGCGTTTTGCGGGTGAAACACTCGAAAAGCGCCTAAAATGCGCTAAAGCGAGGAATTAGAGTGTTCCACGAGAAACTCTTCATTAACGTCTAACCTGCTCTGAGCCACCAAATAAGCCTTTTCCGGGCGAAACTCTCGAGCAACGTCTAACGTGCGCTAAACATCGAAATAGGCGTTTTCTGGGAGAAACTGTCGAATGACATCTGCCGTGCGCTAAGCCACGAAAACATATTCCGAACGAAACTCTCGGAAAACGTCTAGGGTGCGCTAGGCCGTGAAATAAGCGTTTTCAGAGAAGGGTGCGCTAGGCCGTGAAATAAGCGTTTTCAGAGAGAAACTTCGGAATAACGTTTAAGGTGTCCTAAACGGTGAAATAGTTTTTTTCGAGCAAAACTCTTGAAAAACGACTGATGTGCGCTAAACCCCGAAGTAAAGGCTTTCTGATCGAAACTCTCGGGCAAAGTCTAATGTGCCCTAAACCTCGAAATAAGATTTTTTCGAGGGAAGCTCTCGAAAAACGCCTAACTTGCGCTGATACGTGAAATAAGCATTTTCTGGGCGAACTCTCGAATGACGTCTAACATGCGCTAAACTTCGAAATAAGCGTTTTCCTGGCAAAGTCCTCGAAAAATGCCTAAAGTGCGCTAAAACGAGAAATAAGCGTTTTCTGACCGAACTCTGGAATAACTGCTAACCTGCGTTAAGCCGTGAAATAAGCGCTTTCCGAGCGAAACTCTCGAAAAACGCCTAACGTGCGTAAAACAGTGAAATAAAAGAAATAACATTTACATTTATAGTCCTGTCATAAATTCATGCAAAGGCGAAATATGCATAGGAGATGTAAATTACACTAAGCATACACATTGAAGACCAATGCATTGTAACACCCACACAAGCTCTTCAAATTCTAAACATTCTAACTCATATACTCCATACAAGTCCATATTAGCTAATTACGCTGAAGATTGTTGTACTTATAAAACATCAACACTTGTACAACTTAACACAATTACAGATTGGGATTCTGACGCTTTCTATTCAGCGCTTCAAAACAACGGAATCATGACATTCCAGATGTCTAAAATTAGTCAACCGGAAACAGTATTCAGGAAAACTGATTGATTACTGATGGCATTAGTCGATAGAAATAGCTGAGAGATATGCGAAACGAGGGACTCGCATGGTGTGGTGGTGAACCCGTTACTCTCCAGAAAGGGTAATAGAGTAATATTTCGAAACCGACCTTCCCTAAACCTCGGTGTGACAAATCAATATGTATTATTTCTTGATAAGCTTGCACGAGGTTGATAAATATATTTATTTTCGGCTAACGTTTCGACGTCTTCGTCTTCCTCAGAGCCGGTGATCCGAGTCGATGGTCCATGCTTGTTGTTCGCCTCGACGTTGCGTCTTCGCCTTCCTGTCGAGCCAGATCTTCCTCAGCGAGCCATCTTCTCGAATCGAATGAGGCATCCTCACTCAGTGATGCCCTTTTATACACGATGCTGATGGTGGATATATAATGACAATGTTCTGCAAAAATACGTCGAAGAATTGTCATAAATACACATGTTAGATTTGCAAAGACTGTGTTCCTTCTTATAAAACATTTCAGCTGCTTTCTTCTGAGCCACTTTCAGTAATTTGTCCTTTATATCCGGACATGATTTTACCTGGTAAGTCATAAGCACTAGAACAGAACCGTATTTAACGAGTTACCGAGCACATGAAGCAAATCACAAAAACACAACTGATATCTGCTCATCAAAGATCAAAGAAAGAATGCAACTGATATCGCCGAGGAAATGTCTTAATATCAAGTTGCATTACTAAAGAGAAAAACTGAGAATCCACCTCATATCAGCATCTGCACGGTAAAGGGTAAATCTCATTCGAGTTTCAGCAAGTTCTTTCTCCAAAAACGCTACCTTAAATACAATACATGCCAGATGGGTAAGGTGGCAACTAACGTGGAAGACAAAGGAAAGCGAAGGAACCTTTTCCTTAAGCCCTTTGATCGTTTGCTGTCCAGAATCAGCATTAGCAAGTGGTTTATTCTTTATTCTTTATTTTGCTTGCTCTGTTCGCATAACTATAGTACATAAACATAACTAAGTTGGAACTGTAACGGTACTAGGAAAGTTCACAAATTTTCACGAGTTGGCATCAAATGAACCTTCAAGCATTCTTCGTACAATTGAATCCATTAACATTGCAAGAAACTACAAACAAAAGGCTAGTAATCTTTGAATCTCTGCAAGGTGTATGATGGCTGCTTCCTAATTCCGATAACGCAGAAATCACAGTTCTTAGAGCAAGAAGACTTGAAAAATTTGGCTGATCCCGACAATAAATGGCCGGAAAAAATTGATGCAAAGGGAGAGACCCCATGCTCACTCAATAAGGTGTCTGGCCATCTCACCGAGCTCCTAAAACTAGTAAAAACACGTTGGGAAACGTGAAAACTATCGTCTTGAACGACACCGGCGTCAACCCAACAGTAGCAAAGAAACCAGCTATTTCTCTTTTAAGGTTCAGAAAAGTGCAGAAGTGGGAAATATTTTTAAAAGTGTTCAACCATTTAGTGCATCCATAAAAGATGAATGATTTCCTGAAAATGAGCTAATGGCTAGATGCTCTTCTTCAAAGAGAAGCAAAACAAATAGTCAAGCACCATGAAATATTTCAGCTACCAAGTGACGGGATCGCATTTAAAAGAAAATATAGAAATCAATAAGCTACTGTAAATCAATTGTTAAATAGGCTATAGACAGCCCAAATCCAAAGCAGTCGCCTCTAAGATCAGGAAAAAGTATGTGGATCACTTCAACTGCCTGAAAAGGAACATGTGAATAACATGCTCCAACAAGCAAAAAAAAATCTTGAGAAGTCTACGAAAAACAGCCATAGATATGTTTCACAACAAAGGAAATAACGAGAAGAAGACTGAAAATGGAAAACACAAGACATGATGATTACTAGAACGACGAGACTAAGTGGAAAGAACAGTCGACTTTAGAGTGGAATTTAGAAATCCGCAGTGTAAAAGCCCACAGCAGGTTCATGCAGCCCACAGAGGATCGTTTGCAAGTGGAAAATATTCATGCCTCTTCTTCGAAAAATTAGGACATACGTCGAATGACAGCGAAGAGCACGAATACGCCACCAAAGTTAGAAGAAATTGTGAGGGAACGAGA